AGAGTGGTGTGGCAAGAGGGGAGAGGGATTATGAAGAAGAAGAAAAGAGGGGATGGCTAGGAAGGAAGGGAAGGAGAGGGGAAATTGGTAGGGGTTCAGGTGAGGAGGACATACACCACCCAGCTCTTCCAGTGCACCCCAGCCCCTTGCACTCCTTGTGCCTGCACTCTACTGGTGCTCCTGTGCACCCCTACTCTGCACTAACTCCCCTCACCCCCTCACCCCCACCACTGGCATACAGTGGCTAGCCCTAGCAGGCACAGAGACACATGGGACAACACCGCTCCCGGTGCTCTGCGGCTTCATCCCTCAGGGGACACGTTGATGGGGCCTTCCCAAACACAGCAACAGCAGGCAGGATTTTGCTGACAACCCCAGCCAGAAGCGGCTTCAGGGGCGCACAGGTTTTTCCGAATTACAAATGATGAAGAACCAGCTGCAGCCAGTTATGTCTCCAGAGAGGCGGGGGGGGGGGCTTCCTTCTTTGTCCAGGGTCCAGGAAGCAGCATCAACCCGGGCTCTAAAAGCAGCGTTTGCTACCAGGAAGTGTGGGATGGTGGAGTCTGGCATGTAAGCGCTGGGACGCAGCCCATCCCGTCAGAAACTCAGGGAGGTTCTTTTAATTATATCAACTTCATTATCATTATAAACCAGAGCTGCAATGGAACAACACTATAACTACATGGCTGGGTATTACCAGGATTTAACTGGCAGCCTGAAGCTGCCCTGGAAAAGCTCATTGTGATCAAATTTCACCCTTATAAAAGATGTTAAAGGGAGGCCCATACACGTGACTTGACCGAGACCCCGAATGTTTCTTTAGGGACGGGCCTGGCTACAGCTGCCCAAAAGGCCAATATCGCACGAGAGACTCGCCTCGTCCCATTATTACTCCTGACGCTGGTGCAGAGAGCACGGAGGGGGAAGGGAATGCGATGCACTCCAGGGCACAGGGGAGATGGCTTTCTGCCCTAGCCAATAGAGAATTGCCAGGAGATCCAAGGTGAGATCCATCCGTGGCCACAGGCAGGGCATCCTTTCACAGCCGGCTGCTGTGCAAGGAGCTCTGTTTGACCTGCTCTAGAGTGTAGCACTGACCTGGCAGACATTCAGCCGAGGAGATTTTCCCCCGAGGGAGGAATTACACAGAAAGATGCGACCTACCCCACTACCCCTAATGTGCACAGCTAAACTAGGTTGCACCACCCTGTCCCGGTGCTTTCCATACCCTGGGGCTGGCAAGGCAGTGCAGGGCCATGAGAACCCATGTAGGGCCAGTCCCATTTCTCCTAACTGACTAGCACAGTCAGGGAGGCCAGAGTCCCCAGAGACGGCCCTGTGCTGCACACATCCCAGTAGGTTCAGCTGAGATGAATTATAAAGACCCTGCAATGTTGCTCGGGCATTTCATGCACACACACAAACAGGCACTGCAGGACAGAGGCATGAGGAAGGACAGACAGGAGACCTGCCAGGAGGTAGGTGACTGTGTTGGGCTGTTTGAATAGACGGGGCGAGGGGAGAAGGCGAGAGCTGCTCTTTGGAAAGGCCTCTGTGTCAGGAGACTGAAAGGGAGGAAAATGTTTCCGTGGCTCATACACCACTGCTAGGAGACTTGGTAATAAGTGACAGGAACTGGGATTTCGCACTGCTGAGAAGAGAGGTGATATAACTGGCATTTCAGATACCTTTTGGGAGAGTGTGAGTGATGGGAAAGTTAAAAACATGGGTTACAGCCTTTTTAGGAAGCAAGAGAGGTGCCCCTCGTATGGCAAAGACACTGCCCCCTGTATTTGGAGTTGCTAATAGCTCAGCACCACAGGACCATGAGTGCACATGGATCAATGTACTGGCTAACAGAGAGTAGGATGGGGTACAGCTGGGGCACCATTACACACCTCTCAGATGGTAATTTTCTTACACAGAAACTGCCAACACTGGGAACTTGAATTTGAAGTCCATTATGATAAGTAGGAACATAAGGCTGGCCAGACCCGGTCAGCCCAATGGTTCATCTAGCCCAGTGGCCTGTTTCCAACTGGCCACTGCCAGATGCCCCAGAGAGAATAAACAGAACAGGCAATCAGCAAGTGATCCATCCCCATTCGCCCATTTCCAGCTTCTGGCAAACACAGGCGAGAGATGCTTCAGAGCACCGTTTAGTATCCCTGCCCACCTGGACCAAACAGGGTTAGCATGATTCTTGAGTGGAGCAGGACAGCGACTTTACCGCTGTGTACGGCACGGGGGGCACCGACATGAGAACATGGCCACCAGGTCTGGTGTCCACATTTTAAAGAGATGTTGAAAAATTGAAAAGACAGAGAAACCCTGCAAAAATGATTTGGAGGCTGGGAAAATGCCTGGAAGCGAGAGACATAAAGAGCTCAAACCATGCAGCTCATCAGGGTTAACAAGAGATGACTTGACTAAGGTTTCTGTCTTCTTGGGGTGAGAATCCCAGCTAGTAAAGGATACGTTAATCTACTGGCAGAGTGAGAACCACTGTCTGGAAGTTACAGACAGCCAAATTCCGATGAGAAATGAGACCCACGTTGTTACAAGTGAAGGTGATTTGCCATTGGGACAGACACCTGGGGACGTGATGGGCCCTGCATCTCTTGAGGTCTTCATTTTGGAGTGAAGTATTAGAGAGGTAGCCGTGTTAGTCCGAATCTGCAAAAGCGGTGAGGAGTCCTGTGGCACCTTATAGACTAACTGAAGTGTTGGAGCATAAGCTTTTGTGGGCAAAGACCCACTTCGTCAGATGCATGCAGTGGAAATTTCCAGAGGCAGGTATAAATATGCAGGCCAGAATCAGGCTGGAGATGACAATTTTGGAGTGGAGGCCTTTCTGGAAGATGCTTTAGTCAGATCCAAGCCACTGGGCTCCATGCAAGGTACTTGGGTGAAGTTTTATGCCCTGTGCTATACCGGAGGTCAGTTACTGATGAGTAGTGAGGGCCAGGGAAGCGTGGTGCTTCCCAGGTTTAAGAAAGGGGCTTTAGGAGTCGCAGCCCGTAAAACTCTTCTGTTCGGGGCCAGCCCTTCCGGGGGGTGGAAAGTGGCTTGGTGTGCTGCCATTCCTCTCCCCTTGGCTGGATCCACATCACTGAGAGTGCCAGGAAGCTCTCTCCCAGCACTGCCCTTGTCTGGAGGCTCCTCCTATAGCTCCCATTAGCCAGGAATCCTGGCCAAAGGTAGCTCTGGGTGGTGGTAGCCACAGAAGGGCAGCATGGGACAGCATGGACTAAACAGAGCCACCTGTTCCTCAACAACAACAACAACCAGGAGCTGCCCCAGGTAAGAGCACCCTGATCCCCAACCCACTGTGCAAGCCTGAGCCCCCCCAACGTAGCTCCCCCCTATACCCCATATCTTAAATCTGAGCCCCCTCCAGAACCCAAACTTCCACCCAGACCCCCTCCCAATCCCAGCCTCCTGTCCTGAACCCACTCATGCATTCCGACCCCCTTGCCTAAGCCTGGAGCCCCTTCCTGCACTGCAAACGGCTCATCCCCCAAACCATCCCCAGCCAAAGCCCTGATTCCCCCTCCCCCATGATGGATAGGAGGGGTACTACCCTTTTCTAAACATCCCAGCATTCAGTGACTAAATTGTCTGTAAAAGGTTAAATCCAGAACAGTGGGAATCCAGAAAGTGTTGTCAGGGATCCAGGAGAGCCAATAGGAAGACAGGGTGCGTCTACACTGCACCCTATCCTCGAAATAAGAAACACACTTTGCACTATTCAAATTGAGTATCTTAGGGTATGTCTACACTACCACCCTAGTTCGAAATAGGGTGGTTAATGTAGTCATTCGAAGTTGCAATTGAAGCCCGGGATTTAAATATCCCGGGCTTCATTTGTATCTTGCCGGGTTCTGCCATTTTTAAATCCCCGTTAGTGCGGACTTCGTGCCCGCGGCTACACGCGGCACTGAGTAGGTAGTTCGAATTAGGCTTTCTAATTCTAACTATTGGTACACCTTGTTCCACGAGGAGTAACGGTAGTTCGAATTAGAAAGCCTAATTCGAACTACCTACTCTGTGCCGCGTGTAGCCGTGGGCACGGAGTCCGCACTAACGGGGATTTAAAAATGGCGGCGCCCGGCAAGATGCAAATGAAGCCTGGGATATTTAAACTTCGAATGACTACATGTAGTGTAGACATACCCTTATTTTGGTTTTATTTTGAAATAATTTATTTTGAAATTTGGCACATCTACACAGCACCAAATTTTGAAATAAAGCATTATTTTGACCATCCCTTATTCCTCGAGCAACGAGGTTTACTGGGATGGCGAAATAGTGCACCAGTTATTTCAAAAACTATTTTGAAATAATGGGCGGCTTGTGTAGACACAGGATAGCAATTTCGGGAGACCTCCGGTGTCCCCTAATAGCCTTACAGTGTAGACATACCCAAAGTGTTTTGAATTGAAAGCAGCGATGTGCCTGCTGCAGTTCTTTATGAGTTTTTAGAGCAGGAGCTGGAAAGAAAGAAATGGACTGAACGAGGAATAAAGGCATGGAGGTTTTGGTGATATTTATGTGTAAGGAATGACTGAACCCTGGAGCAAAGGATATGTAAGTGAACTGAGAATGTTTAGTTAGATTTGGTCAAATTGGTTTGTTTGTTTGTTTGTTTGTTTGTTTGTTTGTTTGTTTGTTTATACTCCTCTGTGCTAACCTCCCTTGTACACTGTAACTAAAACTGAGTCCGAGGGAAGGAATTCTCTGTGATTTAATTTTTTCTTCGGTTGCTCTGTCACACCTGGCAACCAAGTATGCTTTACCAAATATATCTTTTTTTGTTTGTTTTGTTAAAAAAATCAGCTTTTTTAAGACTCTGATCTGATTCCTCTGTCCTACAAAGCAGGAGGGTCAGTGTGCTCATGTCTTGAGACTGAGCAGTCAGCTATCAGAAATTACAGTTTGTTTTCAAGCTCTCTCCTTAGGGAGATTAAAGAGGTGGTGTACCCAAGTAAAATTCCCAAATGAAATTCACAAGTGAGAATTATTCGATTATTGTATTGCAGGGAAAGAACTTCATGCATGGATTGATCCACGTCTGCTGTACGTCATGTCAGCCTCCAATCATGCTGACCGGCGTCCCTGGCCTGGAATCTCAGCACATCTGGATCGCCATCCCGCTCTGCATCATGTACATAATTACTCTGCTGGGAAACGGTGCTGTTCTCTTTGTGGTAAAGCAGGATGTGACCCTCCATGAGCCCATGTACTATTTCCTCTCCATGCTGGCTGTCATTGATCTGGTCTTCTCCACGGCTGTTGTCCCCAAAATGCTGAGCATCTTCTGGCTGGATTCCGGAGAGATCAGCTACGAGTCCTGCTTCCTCCAGATGTTCTTCATCCATACCTTCACTGCCGTGGAATCGGGAGTGCTCTTGGCCATGTCTTATGACCGATACGTGGCTATCTGCAACCCCTTGAGATACAAGACTATCCTAACCAACCCAAAGATTGCCATGATTGGGCTGCTGTCCCTTGCGAGAGGGTTGGCAGTTGTGACACCTTTAACCTGCCTTCTAACCAGTCTGCCATTCTGTAAAACAAATGTCATCCCTCATTCCTATTGTGAGCACATGGCCGTGGTGGAGCTGGCCAGCACATACTCAGAAGTCAGTGACCTGTTAAATGTTGTCGTGGCCACAGCCTTAGTGGTGGCAGACTCCATCTGCATCTCTTTCTCTTACGGCATGATCCTCCGCTCTGTTTTACGGCTCTCATCTCACGAGGCGCGTCTCAAGGCCTTCAGCACCTGCAGCTCCCACCTCTGCGTCATCCTGCTCTTCTACATGGGCGGGCTCCTTTCCATGTACCTGCACATGTTTGACCTCATCCTTGCACGTCACACCCAAGTCTTGCTGGCTGACTTGTACCTTGTTGTCCCCCCCATGTTAAACCCGGTAGTTTACGGCCTGAAGACCAAGCAGATCCGGGATCGGGTCTTCAAGCTCTTTGGCCAAAGAAAGATCTGAGCAGAACCCAGTATCAAGAGTGGCCACTGAGGCAGCCCCACAACACAGAAGAACCTCTCCATTGTCCCCACCTTCGCCTGCATGCCCAGTGCATGTGAGGTCATGGGACAGAGAGAGTGACATTTTCCAGTGCAGGCCACACTACCCTTACCAGTGTGACCTCACATGCAGGATCCACATGAGCTCACACTGGTGGGGGCAGAGCAACACATTCTACAAAACAGCATCCTCCATGTATGGTACCAGCGAAAGCATGGCTGAGTTTATATCAATAGTGTGCTGAACAGGGGACAAACATTACAAAACCAGGTCCATCTGGCTTAATACCAATTAAATGGATTGACTAGTGCAGTAAGAAAAGGGCCCGAAACATAAGCTCATGTATCACAGGCCTGGTGGGAGGCCCAAGGCCTAGGCAAAAGGCATCAAGAGTTTACTAATATAAAGCAAAGTTGAGCTGTGGTCAAGAGGCAGATTATGCTCACGTAATCAGACAAGAATAAGGCTGATATTGCACAAACACACATACCTGAGTGATACAAGGCACATAAGAACATAAGAATGGCCACACTGGGTCAGACCAAAGGTCCATCCAGCCCAGTATCCTGTCTGCCAACAGTGGCCAATGTCAGATGCCCCAGAGGGAGTGAATCGAACAGGTAATGATCATGCAATCTCTCTCCTGCCATCCATTTCCACCCTGTGACAAACTAGAGGCTAGGGACACCATTCCTACCCATACTGGCTAATAGCCATTAATGGACCTAACCTCCATGAATGTATCTAGTTCTCTTTTAAACCCTATTATAGTCCTAGGCTTCAGAACCTCCTCAGGCAAGGAGGCACAAAGCATACAAACACATTCCAGAAAAACAAAATGGCAGAAAATCGCGACATTCTCAGAGATCGCCCATTGTCAGAACTTTTGCCCTGCGAACTGAAGTGCCTCTCCATGCTCTGCTACTATAGAATCATAGAATCATAGAACACTAGAACTGGAAGGGACCTTGAGAGGTCATCGAGTCCAGTCCCCTGCCCTCATGGCAGGACCCAGTACTGTCTAGACCATCCCTGATACATGTCTAATCTTCTTTTAAATAGCTCCAGAGATGGAGATTACACAACCTCCCTAGGCAATTTATTCCAGTGTTTAAGCACCCTGGGTATGTCTACACTAGCTCGTTAGTTCAAGCTCGTGTAGACATTAGAGATCCTAATCCTACATTAGTGTAGGATTAGAGATCCTAATTCGATCTAATTGGAACAAAGAGTAACGGTAGTTCAAATTAGGATCTCTAATTCCAACTACCTACTCCATGCCGTGTGTAGCCGCGGGCATGGAGTTCGGACTAAACAAGCCCAATTCTTTCACTCTTCCCTCATAGGTCAAGTTCTCTAGACCTTTAATCATTCTTGTTGCTCTTCTGTGGACCTTCTCCAATTTCTCTACATCCTTCTCTACATCCTTCAGAACTGGACAAAATACTCCAACTGAGGCCTAATCAGAGCAGAGTAGAATGGAAGAATGACTTCTCGTGTCTTGCTCACAACACCCCTGTTAGTAGCTCCCAACAAAGGCCCCGCGCACACAGCCAAACAGCCCACAGATCCCAGCCTGAGTGTCTGTGTTTGTGTAGGCTCCAGTCACATTCTGGCTTCCACCAGCCTTAGTCATCACCCACCGGTGACTCCATCACACTCACAGGCTGGAATTATCCCCTGGCCCTCTCGTAGACAGTTCCGATATTTTAGGCCCATTGTCCCTTTAAGGGTTCGATATCCAATAGTGTGTTACTTTCTAGGGAGTTACGCATGTGATTCAGTTTACACACAACACTGGATTAGTTTGGATGAAAGAATAAAGTAAGTTTATTTAACTACAAAGAGAGAGGGTTTACATCGGAGGAAGGCTAGTGAGGGGAGGCTGTTCTCAGTGGTGATGGATGGCAGAACAAAGAGCAATGGTCTCAAATTGCAGTGGGGGAGTTCTAAGTTGGATATTAGGAAAAACTGTTTCACTAGGAGGGTAGGGAAGCACTGGAATGGGTTATCTAGGGAGGTGGTGGAATCACCATCCCTAGAGGTTTTTAGGTCCTGGCTTGACAAACCGCCGGCTGGGATGATTTAGTTGGGATTGGTTCTGGTTTTAGCAGGGGGTTGGACTTGATGACTCCTGAAGTCTCTTCCAGCCCTAGGATTCTATGATTCTAAAGTCAGAAATGATTACAGGACAAATAAAGATCAAACCCTTTCTTATAACTAAACTTCATCACCAGGACTCCGTTCAAGGCCAAATTCTCACCACCTGCTCCAAACTGCAGGTCAGGATCTTCTCCCAATGTCCAAAGGCTGTTTCTTTTGTCTTCTAAAATGAAAGTGAGAGAGATGGAAGGGAGCAAAACCTTGGGCGGGTTTTGCACATCACTTTTATAGTCCAGTCCCCCTTTGTAACACGTTTTTCTGTGTGTTCCCCCTAGGCAAAGTTAATTCCTGCAGTGTGGATGGAGACCAGGAATCTTGTGGTCAAAGAAGTTCCACACTGGTACTTGCTAAGATGCAGAACTGTTTGCTTCCACACTCTTCCAGGCCAAGGAATGGCTACTTGGTCCCTGATTGCCCCAGCTAGAGGTATCAGCTTGTCCTTAGTCTTTGAAAATCTGATCCACCCAGCCTTATCTAGTAAACCTGTGTATAACATTCTATGCAATGGCGCTACACACATTTCATCATGGTGTGATCGACCAGAGAGTGATTAGCTATTACATGACACCTCACAACGCCTATTTTGTACAACAATTCTTAGAAGAGAGGGGAGGGTGGGCATACAAGGGTGCCTTCAATCACATGTCGTAATTCCTCTGCAGGGCTTAGACATCTGTGCATTGTGCTAGACATACCCATCCAGAAGAGATCGGGGCAGACATTGGCAGAGGAAGACCAAGTAGAGCCAGGAACGCCCACTGAACCTGCTCCCCCACAAGAGGATGATGGGTAATCAAGTCACCTAGCCTAGTATCCAATTAATCCAAATCAGGAAACTCAACCCTCTGTTTTGCACACTGGCAGCCTGTTGCTCTGTTCCTCCAGTCTCTATCCAATTCATTACCCAGTGGCTGTGTCAGTCCCGTACACCGTCTGTTCCCCAAGTTAAGCTCTTTCCACTACCCAAGCCTATTCAAAATCAGTACCTAGGCCACGTTCCTGTTGGAACCTTGCCATGAACTTCCACAAGACTGGGTTTCAGTCTTCCCAGAACATAGACTAACGTAGACCCAATTGACAGCAACTCTGTAACCCAAAGGGATTCCACAATGACTATGTAAATCTGTGATTTTTATTTGTATGGAGTAAATACAAAAAGTGTAAATTAAACACTCTATTGTTTTGTGCATTGTCTGCTTATGCATAGATACGCCGACCATATGTCCCGGATTTTCCAGTACGGTCCCAATTTTAAATCTTCTGTCCCATTGTCCCCATAAAGCACTGAAATGTCCCAGAAATTCCCCTACTGCACCTCAGCCTTTTAAATGTAGTAAGAACCAAGCAAATACATCTACGCAGAACAGGGCCTTCTCAGCTTTTGCTCCCAGGCTGTGGAATTTTCTTCCTTGGGATAGTCGCATGGTGCCAAAGTTAGCATTGTTTCAGTGTCAGGCTAAAGACACCCTTTTTACTCGTGTTTTCATTGTGTTTGAGTCTGTATGTGTGTGTTGCTCCTCTCAAGATGTTTTTAGCAGGTTTTATGTCCCTCTGGGGTCTCGCATTTTTACATTTTTATATATATTTGTATTGTGTTTTTTAAAAAATTATTGTAAGCTGCCCTGAATATTTTAAATAGAGAAGTGGATACAAATATTTTAAATAAATAAGTAAATAGATAGATAAAAGGCAGAGGCAGTGGGCCAGAAATGGTGGGCAGGGCCTAAGGGGTCGAGAGTAGCTAATTGGCATGGCTAGCATTTGATTGATGGTAGAGCCTTTATATCATGGGTCCCCATTTTTGGGTTGGAAAATATGGTCCTTACGCATAGAGTCTGGTGTGGATACAAAATTTGCATCCATATCTGCAAAAATCAGTCGCAGATATCCTCATCTATATCTGCTGCTGTGGCTACCTGCAGTTTTGCAGATATCCGTGGATTTGCACGGTTCTCCTTATAGTCTGCTGGGGACCAGTACAGCAGGATGCTAAGAGGTAAAGAATGAGTCACTGGGAGATCAGCTTGTAAAGAACTTGTATTTGAATTGGTTTTATTTAGAACCAAACCTCAAGCATCCGCCCGTCATATTGCCGTACATGTATTCCCACAGATGAGAGGAAATGTTCTCTCCCTGTAAGAAAAATCTGGGGGCTTCCTACCCCCCAAAGGCCAAACCTGTCTGGCAAGCCTGATTCCTCATTGGCATGCAGTCCTGTTCCTCCTCACCTGCTCTACACATGCAAACTTGGAAAACCAGACTGGAACCAATCTTCTTGATTTAGTTGGGATTGGTCCTGGCTTGGGCAGGGGGCTGGACTTGATGACTCCTGAGGTCTCTTACAATTCTATTATTCTGTTTATTTCTACCTGACTACTTCTAGCAAACGCATATCCATGCTGGACCATAGCCAGCTTCTGAAACAACTAGAACTGCTCAACGTTTTTCTAATGATAAATGGGCGTGTTGTGGTGCAACACAAGACTGATTTTTGGAACTCTTCGGATGGAGCTCCAGGGGGCAGGGAGAACTGATCACAAGATCCTTTGCCCACAACAATGGCCTTGTCATCAATTTTGCCCCCCAGACTTCCCGGCAAGAGGGTATTTGCAGCTTATTGTGACCCATTCAAAAGAGCACACACTGCTTACCCAGTCGTTATTTTGTGGGTACCGTCAGTGCTCTGCGTGCATTCCCGGACACAGACACAACCCAGTGCAGGTCACTCCTGTATTTTTACCTAACCCCTCTTCCAGCCAGCAGCAATAGGAGCCCTTATACCTCTCTCCTAGGGACTT